GTGCCAGTAGGCATCATCTAAGAGAGGGTGTGGCACCCCTGGAGCTGGGCCCTCCAGAAGACAAAGAGGAACCCACGGAGATCGACTCACCTCTACAGAAGCTGCACAGTACTGTGCCTCTTTGTAAAATACCATATTGGCTTGTGTTTCAGTTTGTTATTATTTCTTTCATGTTTTGGGGAAACATATTGCAGCAAATCTATTTCCTTCTTATTTCTAGTTCTAGAAAGTCAGAATAGCCTAACATCTGTCAGAAAAGTTGTGGAAGTCTCATTTTAACCTCTTACTGGGGTTTGTCATTTTTACTAAAATTCCGTAATGCATTATGATAAAATCTCCCAAAGCATGTTATAAAATTGGAAATTAAGAAACAGTGCAATGTGGAAAATCAGCTCGATACTTTGAAACCAGAAGCAATACGCATAGTCAAGAGCTCCATATTGGTTTTGCAAAAGTACCCATATATACGTGTGTGTGACAGATGAGGAATATTTTCGGTACTGGTACCGGTCATTATGCATGGCACATAATACATTCAAAAATAAAAATTAAAAAAGCAAGCAAAGCATTTGCCTGGTTTTTAGGTGAAAGGGAGATCCGTAATTCAACATTTTATTACAAGGACAGTGCCTTTAAACTGTTCCTTTTCTATCTTTCCCACTCTCCACCACCCAAGAGGGTTAGTGAGCCTGTCTGCTATCTCTTCTCACAGCTGGGGCAGCTCTCAGCAGCGTGAGCAGAAACACTCCCTACACTGAAGGTGGTTCTCCAAGGCAGCAGGAGAGCTCTGGGGAGCCTGGAGTTTAACAGCGGGCGCTATCGCCACCCTAATTTGGTTATCAGGTACCTGCATAAGCAGTTCGGGTTCAGCTGGCACAAAGCTGCACATCAGGACACACAGATAATTCTTTGCAAAAGATCGCTCCGCGTAAGAATGCATCATCTAGGCAACACCTGAAAAAAGAAGGGGTTTGGGATCTTCACATCTGGAAGACATACATCTCAGTATCAACAGTAATGACATTTTGCTTAGCACAACCTGCCTCCTACTGAATCCCAGGACCATGCTGTGACAGTAGGAGGAGATTACAGCAATCCAGCGTCACCTTGCACTACACCTCACAGCAGAGGACAAAGTCCCAGGCACCATTTCTCAGTGCCCTGCTGAGATCAGACTGCCTGTGTAGCAAAGACCTGGTTGGCAAGAGATTGAAAACAGTCTCTCCCCAGAGTGCTCAAAACCCCACTGTCCTAAAGGCAGGCATTTCACCAGCTGGTATGGAGATTCAATTTCCATCAGTCTTTACACACAGCAGAGAGGCAGAGGAAGCTGTGAAAAAGACAAGATTCCCCATTGCTATGTTTTTTCCATTTAAGTAAAGCTGGTTTAGGTTGTACTAGCACAGCCTGTGTATATTATACCCCATAGAAAAAGAGAATGTGCATTGCCTTGTATGGGGTCTGAACTCATCCAATAGTCCTGCTCTCTTGGGAAACTTCTTTTGCTTTCTTAAGCCTCTATTCCATCCCATCCCTTATGGGTTTGATTGGTTTGGGGGCTGGTTGGTTTTTTTTAAGTAATACTGAAGAGATGACATAGTTCATTTTGGCAACCAGTTTTTAATAGAAACATATAATACAATACACCTTCTCACATAAATATTTTATATAAACATATAAACACTCACAATATGCAAACCTACACAGTGTTCCAAAGCTCCAGTTCTGTTTAAACAGTGCAAAGCAAAAAAAAAATAAATATCAAATTATCAGCACAGGAAAAATGGAAATGTGAAGTTTCAAAAGCATAAATAATCAGATTATTTCTCTTGTGTCCTTACATTCCACTTAAATACTGACTGTCGCAACACATTAACCAGTTGTGTTCTTATACCACAGCTGCAGGGGCAAGCAGAGTCAATGCACGTTCACTCGTAGTGTACTGCCAGCAATGGAGGTCATTTAGGTTGTACAGTGACCATTTGTTGTTAATTAGAAGCACGCAAACTCAAGAGCAATATATCTAAACTTCAAGTCCACACACTTGTTTTTCTTGACTTGCTATAGCTATCAAGAAATAGCTAGAGTAAATCACTTTAGAAACAGAATGTTTTCGAAGAGGGGAAAAGGGTGAAGGATGGTAATGATAAGCACTGAGAAATAGTCTTGTGTCTGCCTATGTGATACAGCTTTCGGAAGACAGTGAAACAGAACTTCAGGCTTTCCCTTCTCCCGTATATGAGACCTGATAAAAGAAATAATAAAGAAAAACAAACAACAAACTTGCACCACAAAACTCACTCTCCCCAGCTCACAGGTAGAGAAGTTTCTGGATCTGCAGCACCAAAGGTTGATGAAACACAGTGCAATTTAGATTCTCTGTTTCTTAAACTCAAAGGAGCCCAGGCTAATTCACAAGTCAAAACCACATACTTTTTCATTCTAGTGCAACAACAAAGAGCCTCCTCATTCTCCACAAAATAAGGGGAATGGAAGAACTTTACCAAAGGAAAAGCTAACACTGCTTTAGGCCTGAAACCAGAGCTAAAAAAAAAAGACTTCAAAACACCAGCACACCAGAATAAATTCTCTAGTTCTTCCTTTGTTACTTGACCATGCAGGAGTATAGGGCATAAAAGCCACCAAAGCGTTCCTGCATTTCAGGTTTCCGATGAGGATATTACTTAATTCAGCATTTATCACCTGGCATTCTTTGCTTGCTTTCCTCATTTTTAGGAACCTAAGTTTCTGTCTGTAAAAGTTGCACAGTGCTTTGTCACTGCTAAATCAGGAACTAAAACATTCGTGAAGCATCTTGCAGGCAACACCTGCCACAGCCCAGGATGAACAACAGATCCAATTTACACACCAGATTAAGAAAGCCTCAAATCAATTCAGGCTGCCATCATAATATGTTGATTTGATCCCATGAATAGGGAAGTAAAAGCCATATGAGAACTCATGTAATTGCCACCTTACTCCATCCTATCAGAAATCCTAGATTTGGTTCTCCAGCTCTCTGTGCCAGTAGCGCTCAGGATAACAAACAGCAGAATGTGCAGTTACCACTGTTCATGCACCCTCACAAGTTCAGGTCACTAAGGATAGGAGGGACAGTGAAAGAAAGGAACAGTTCTTCATATTCAGGATTTAGCAAATGATGTGCCTACATGCCTGACAGTGAGAAGCAGCAGATGGAATCTGACAGCTTGTCAAGTCACAACATAGAAAGATTTGATGGAGTGCTCTTATTAACACATCGACATGTGCACACCAGACCCTCTACCACCATTCTTGGAGACTCCTGCACTGTGTAGCGCCAGTCTCCCCTCACAGATGGGCTGAGGCTAAAAACAGGCAGCACCTTCCAAACCTCCAGCCTGTCCCCTTACACTTTACTTGGACTTAACTTTCACATCAGTCATCAAACCTTCCCGGAGTTGGAATCTGGTAAAGAACATCTTTTACAACCCATGTCCCCTCTACTCTTGTGCTCAGCAGGTTGCCAGGACAGGCAGTGATTGTGTAAATTACACTCTAAATTTTACGATCAACAGGTAGGTAGTACCAGCTTTTTGTACAGCTACAGTGTCATGTCTTCATATTTAGAAACATTTGCTCTGTTTCTAAAGTGAATTGTAATATCACAATTGCAAGGCACACTACAGAACAGGATGCGCAATTCCACGCCCAGCTTTGCAGCAACACCAATGGAGCTGCAAGAGTCCCAACCCAGCCAGCCAGCACAGAGGCACAAGTGAAAAGGGGAGCAGGCTGTACCCAAGTTTGGACAGCACACGCTATGAGGTCATTGTAACAAAGTAGGAAGGAGGAAGAAGGCACAGTGGATGAGAAAAGTCTAAGCCTAAACTCAGGAATACCGAAATACGGACTACCTGCTAAGAGAAAATGATCAGCTGGGAAACTGTGAAGAGTCTGTGTGGAGCCCAAAGACAATTAAAGTCGCCTACCAAACACTCATAGGGCCCAAACTTTGGCAAAAGCTTACAGAAAAGAGCAAACCCAGAGATAATCCACATGCAGTCCAGCAGCAGCTTTTAAGGGAAGTCTGAACTGTCAGTATCTAAATCTGCTTCCATTAGACATTTACGCATTATGAGCAGTGACCTGAAAAGCTACATCTAAGGACCAGCTCACACTGAGGGTGCTGATCTGGGATTAACAAATGAATAAGAAGCAAATAAGTCTCTAGTACAACTGGATTAAAAAAAAATAAAATACTTGAGTGTTCCTGATATAGTCAGACCAGCAGGAAAAATGGTTTTCAGAGAACAAGTAGAACTTTGGTAGCAATCAACTCTAAAGTGCCTTTTGCTTCTTAATTCATGTGCAAACACTGCTGTAAAGGCAGAAGCACATTTCAAGAGTGTTAAGATGCTCAATTACATAATAACACATGACACAGCAAGGAGGTTCCAGTTACCTTCTCTGCTATCATGCACAGTACAAAAGTGATGACAGGGACCATGTTCCTAGCTTTCCTTCAGCACTTCATTTCTCTTCCACCCACACCTGCAATATAAACATTAAGAAACACATCCAGTCTCCCACTGTGGTCTGCAACGTTCCCCTGTGAGAACAAAGCATATGTGGAAGGAGGACCTACATCAGATCAGCCAGACCAGCAAGGCTTGCAGGTTCTGCAACCACTGTTTTCTCCTCAAACACTTTTGCTCAGCAATGTCTCATTGCATTAAGGTAGTGAGCACCAAGTAAAAGGGGTATAGTTACCAGGCTGTGGAAACCCTACCATTTCCCGTGGCAATCTGCAAGTGCAGTCTTCTGGAATGCATTGATAAATGATGCAAAGATCCAATCCTTCTTTCCTCTCTTGCCAAAAGGCCTAACACCCTGTCTCAGAAGGGCTGTCTGCCTCCTGGCTGAGCAACGCTTATTCCTCTGTGGAACTGGGAACTTCCTAGTGCCAGTTGATCACAGCAAGCAGGAGGACTGAAGCTGGTCATTTCTGTGCAAGTCAGTCAAGATTTCAAGCCCATTTTTTCCATCATCTGTTCATACACTGTCCATGCCATTGCTGCCATCAGAGTCCGCCTGAGAGCACGGGGCACACCACCTTGGAAAAAGCCGACCAATCCGAAGTCCTGCAACAGGAGACAAACAGCAATCCATCATAATCTGCCTCTAGTGTTTTAATTTCTCATCATTTATTACATGGAACAGCACAGGATATATTTCAGCTCAGACTCAGATCAGTTTCTGAAAGACCCAGACTTAAATAGCATTTAATGTTTAGGAAGAACCTGTAGCACTGTGCAATTGCAGGGCTACCCAAGAAAGCAAGAGGATCAGTGAGTGGAGAAGGGAATGCCAGGATGGTGACAATGGACGGGGAAATCCACACTCAAGCCCAGCAAAGAGAAGGCAAGAGCGTAACAGTTTTAGGACATTTCAGGAAAAGGACTTGTCCTTGTTTTGGAGCTTCATTTACAAAATGTCACTTAGCTATTCTGTAAAAACTGAGATTTCTAAGTACTGAAGTAAAAAAACATTCTGATATGAGAAAAACGTTCTGTGCACAAAAAAATCCATGCACAAATAAACAGATTCATGTTTAGGAATAGAGTTAAATATGGAAAGAAAGCAAACCTGCCAAGATCCATCCTTCTGAGGGCAAGAAGGGAAAGGTGGGCTTTGAGTACATCTCCATCGCATTCCTGGGATAAAGAACTGCGCATTTATTTCTCTTCTAGTGTCCAAAGGGCAAAGAATTGTTTTGTAACTGGGTTATTGTATTGGGTCTCGCTGAGATGGAGTTAATTTTCCACACTGCAGCCCTCATAGTGCTGTGCTGTGTATTGGTAGCTAGCGAGGAGTTGACAACACATCAGTGTTTTGGCTACTACTGAGCAGTGCTGGCACAGCATCAAGGCTGCCTCTCCCAACATTTCTTCCCCCTCCTCAGCAGTAGACTGGGGATGGGCAAGATCTTGGGAGGGGACACAGCCAGGACAGCTGACCCAAACTGACCAAAGGGATATACCATACCATATGATGTCTGCTCAGCGATAAAAGCTATGAGAAAGGAGGAAGGGGGCGCATTTGTTAATCATGATGTTTGTCTTTGGGAGCAACCACTACATGTACTGAAGTCCTGTTTCCTGGGAAGTGGCCAGACATTGCTTGCTGATGGGAAGCAGAGAAGAATCTTTTGCTTTTGCTTTATTAAACTGCCTTTATATTGACCCATGAGTTTGGGGTTATTTTTTTCCATCTTATTTTTTTTCCCCCCTCCCTGTCCTGCTGAGGAGGGGAATGATAGAGCAGCTTGGTGGACACCTGGCACCCAGCCAAGGTTAAATCACCACACACATCTGAGTGGCACTACACACAAAAGAAACCCTTTGCTCCAGTGTGCTAATCACAGATGTGCCTACACCGATAAACCACAGGCAGCAGCAGCTGTAAGTACAGCTCCTCCAAGCCTTCACACTAAGCTGACCTGAAATAAGCTAAGCGCTTTCCATCACTACCAACATAAGAATCAATACATAACAGACAGAACTGAAGTGAAATCATTCACCAGCCTGAAACATGAAGCAGGACTGTGTGGAGACACACTTGCTGGAATATGCCCACCTTTGTGCTCCAGTACTCTGAGTGTGCTCTCCAATTCCCCATCACCTGTAATTTTCTGAAAACAGATACAGGACTGAGGAATGGCAAGAATAATCATGGAGCACATTCACTGCCTTGCAATCCACTCAAGAGCAGCAAGAAACACATCTGAGTAGTGACAATAGACTCTCTAATTACAAGGAAAAGCAAGGAATGGGCTGAAGCCTCTACTTTCAGACCATCAACCAGAGTATTTTCCAGTTATTACTAAACAAGTCCACACATAAACCAGTGACAAAAGATTCAGTTTCTCACAGCATGACCCACCTCAACTTCTGAAAATGCTGACGCTGAGTAGCCTAACCGCAAGAGCGCATCAGACAGACACATTTGTTCACCTCATCACAGCTATGATAAGAAAGACAACTTTCTTATCATAGCTGTGCTTCAGGCGAGGAGATCACAAGTGAGGCTGTGATTGCATGTATTAGAAGGGATTCACCTCACCTTGTAGATGAAGGCAATGGCCTGGCTTGTCCTGCGGTACTTTTGGGGGGACAACTGCATGTGTGTTTTGATGACATCAGCAGGCTGTGTTGCCAGTGAGGCCAAGATTCCTGCAAAGATCCCACAGCCAAAATTCAGCAAGGGCATGAGCACTGGATCCAACTGGTCTGCAACAGAGCAAAGGGAATGCACTCAGGCAAAACCAGGCCAGGAATGCTGTGTGACAAAGTGAAAAGCTGCTGAATGATTAAATAAACATCAAGGTCTAAGAAAACTGAAAATCTATGCAGGGTAGAGGAACCTTTAAAGGGGAAAAGTGGCTACAAGTCAAAAGTTAGCACTATTAAAAAGCCTCACTTTTGATTCACAAATTTGACAGGAACCCAGAGAAAGAAAGATTGTGCAAGTGTTGCCCCAGCCAGTTCTAACATCAGAGAAACCCTGGGTTAGTGAAAATTGATCAGTATACAAGACAACCAGCAGCAAAAAGGATGACTGAACACATCCTCTCTTTCATCTGTTCACTAAACCACCTTATGCGTCAGTCTTTGTAAAGACAATCAATCAATTTTGGGCCAATTTCCATTTCTACACTGACCTGAGCTATAGGTCTACAGTCCTCCACAGGAAAATGTGAATATCCCACCTAAAGCCCTACAAGAGACTAATTTAACTACTGAGGTAGAGGGCAATAAGCAGAGCATGCAGGCAGTCAACTGCAGGGCAAGATGCAAGAAAAGAAACATATCCCATTACAGCCTCCAATGTTCAGCCTTACCCTGAGGTGTGAATTTTTTGGTCTGTGTGTAGAACATCAGGTAGATCCCAGAGAAGGGTGCATCCCGCAGCAGCGTTGCGGTGAGCCCGCTGAACATCCCACGAGCCCCTTCTGTCTGATAGATACTCTTCAGAGCTCCATATACACTCCCATAGCCAAATCTTCCACTCTGCAAGGGTAGACAATGGTCAGTCATCCACATGCCAGGCACAGGCCAAGGAGCCCTACACACCCCCCAAAGCCACCCTGTCCGAACAAGTGATAGTATGCACGCCATGTGATGCCTGAGACTGCAGCACAGAGGACAGCCCAAGGCAAAAACTGGGTTCCACCTACTTCAGCCTTTAAAACAATCCTTCAGAAAGGTAAAACAAGACAGATGCTAAAATTACACAGACATTGTATATAAGCGAAACTTTAAAATCTCAGGGTGAATTCTGTTTCATCTTACACTTCTTGCCTAAAAATCAGTGCACGGCTTTTCCTGCACTGACCCAGGATGAAATCAGGACTACATCCTTGACCATACCCAAGTAGCAGCACCCTTCTCCAAAGAAAAGAATTTCCTTTTCATCATGAGGAAGGCACGTGACATCATTAACAGGGAACTAATTAGAAAGTCATACTCACCTCATATCGGGTCTTCACAACAGTCACTGGCAACATGCAAATCCCTGATACTGCACGTGCAGTGGCACCCAGAAAGACAGACTCCAGGGCTGTGGGTGAACGGTCCACTAGAAACTTTTGCTTCATCATGTATAAAGTGCTGAAGTAAATCCCAACCCCAGGAATACATCTTGCAAAGGACTTCAGAAGAAACAGGAGCAGATGAAGAAAGAAAAAGCACACATAAGACAAGAGGTACTACAGAACCTTGACAGGAAGCTTTGCACACACACAAAGAAAAAACAAATCACTAATACTAACATGCTGAGGAAAGAAGACAGGTAAAAATAATTTACAGCACTGAGAACCCATTGATTCAAACGATGCCAGGATTTAATGCATTTCTCAACTGCAGTTTTCTAGGAACAAGATATTCCAAAACAAAATGAGGTTGGCACAGTTGCCACCCCACATTTGCAAAGGTATTCAAGTGCTGAGCTGCTCAGGACTGCAAAACCACAGGGACTGCCATGACCAAATCAGTAGAACTCACAACATTAACTCCTTAAAAAAAGGAATTAATTATCCTAAATCACATGGTTTCATTCATAATTGTACAGGAGCTGGCTATTTAAATCCTGTCCGTAGTTAGTAATAAACAGTAGGTTTCTTTATCTACTTATTTTTAGAAGTCAAGGTTAAAACAGCCACTTACTGGAGAGACACCTTTCCAGAGCCCCAGAAGACTCTCAGTACGAACAACCCTGAAAAGAAGCGTTACCATCCCAGCACGACCGGACCTGAAAGGATGACAAGACAGGAACTGCAGAGATGACCTGCTTATGCTCTGGCAGATGTACTCTGCAGCCACCCCTTTTCACTCATATCTCTGTGCATTACCCCAGCACCTCAGAGGTGTCCTTCTAGACTCAGCCTGCTTTCCTTGGTTACTCTTTCCAGGGCTTCTCTGCCATCTTCTGTTTTCCCACCACTTGTAACACATGTTAGAAGCCTCTCTCATTAGTATCTTTAGTTGCTCATTCCCCTTGTTAGCAGCAGCAAATGTAGTCATAGTTGACTACACTGGGCTAATGGGAGCAGCTGCACACGTGGACAGGTTATGTGGCAACAACACACAATTTTTCAGGCAGAGGACACCCCATGATACGGAATGATGGCCACTCCAGCAAACATCAGTCTCTCAGTGGCACAAATGCTCTGGTTACCTGTTATTAAAGTAGCATTCACAAGAGCAGCTGTTTTTGTCTCTTCTGGAGCAAAATATCAATCCTTCTCCATGCTATAAAAATACCTCCTATTTCAGAAAGATTCCCAGTATCTGAATTACAACCCTGAACTCCAAGCCCCAGCCAGCAAATTAGGCAGAAGCCTATGGTGGAGCACCCCCACACCCCCATGCATACACATCCCCACTCTCTCACCCATTCACAGCAGGCTGCAGAGTTTGCAGGCGGGTTTTCAGCAGGTCAAGGGGTTGGAAGAGGAGTGTGGAGCAAGTCCCACTGATGGAGCCACACACAAAGGCCTTTAGGACTGGATGCATCTGGAAGAGAAAGACAATGACTTTAAATGCCCTTTTAATTAAGAACGGCACAAGAAGAAATACAGCAGCTGATATGTCACATGTTATAGGAAAGGAAGACGAGCTAAGGATTGCTGCTCAGGAAACTTTTTCTGACCTTTTTCAGAGCCTGACCAAGTTTTGGTCCTTCTGCCTTTCCTGGGAGATTGTTCCAGGATCTCCTTGCAATTTGGTGGTTGGAAAAAGTTTTCTGAACATCAAATGTATTAGCAGCCATTTGGTAACAATTTGCCATGACTAAGGAAACGGGTGCCCCCTTCTCACCACCCCGCCAAATACCTGTGCCTTAGCCTCAAACCCATCCACCTCTGCTCGGCACCCTGCTGCCAGCGCCTCCAACCCTTCCTCCCCATCGCACACCAAGGTCCCCCACTGCTACACGCACTAGCAGAGCTCTCCCTTAAAATTGCCCACCACCCAAACCCAACTCAAACACACCAAAAGCACAGCACGGCCTGCTCAGCTAAGGTCTGGTTGTCCTATCCACACCAGCTGCTGCCTCTCAGCACTTTTCAGGTGATAATGCAGGAGGCACAAACCACACAGCAAGGTGGAGATTTTTTTAATTAAAACACATAATTGTGTTTTGTTAATGGAGAACGAGTTTCTACACCCCTTGGAGCACAATCGTGTCCGAGAAAATTTTTGTAGCACGGTGGTTTCTGGAGGGGCACACTCGAAAGCCACTAACGTGTCCTTTGCAGCGAGCTGCGCACGGCTGCCTTCCAACGCCGACTTTCAGACCCCTCTCAAAACCCGTTACGACCCTCCGGCCGCGCTGCACGGG